ATTCACATAGTAATAAATGGAAGACAAAATATTTTTTCTGACAGCATCCTATATGTTTTTCTCTGACTAATTGATTTTTAAAATTTAGTGAAGGAAAGCTTCTCCTCTTTGTGTGTGACCACTTGAATTAGTCATTTTTGCTTCTAGACGGAGATTTTATATGCTCATGTTGCGCTTTTGGCTTACTCACCTGCAGCTTGATGCTACCAATTGCCAATAAGGAATAATTTCTAATCCGCAGGCTGTAACCCCTGGAAGGGGACCCTGCACTGCATGGAGGGAGCCCAGCACAAGTGACTCCACATACTACCCCATACCGAGTTGTTACAAGGGAAGTTTTATCTCCTATTACAGAAATAGGAGCTTTTATTAACTCTTACCAATATGCTGAACGTATTGGTACCAAAATATCTAACTCAAAGTTCATTAAACTGTTCTTGCTGTGTAAATGCATGCTACCATGCATGGTCTGCCAAACATAGATGAAGGCAGCCTTTTTGGCCTACCCAGTGAAGCAGTCTTCCATATAACTTGGGGTTTTGCTGGGGGAGCGGAGAGGAGGAAGAAAGGACTTGATGTCAAGTAGATGCAACATCTGCCTGTGTTAAATTTGGAAAAATGTTAAAGAAGTTAAAGGTCGAAATGAAGACTTATCCTCTCCAAATTTCCTTCCTGCTTTCTCTTTCCTTTCCTGAAAGAGAAGAAAATCAATGAAGATCTTCCAAATGAGGCTCTGCTGAAGATGCTTTTCAGTAAACTGATTGGAAGAGGGTGGTTGCTGTACAATCCCTTTGACAGTGTCTATACTGTCATATAAATCTGATTTAACTCCCCTCCATCTCTTTCATAGTTAGTGAAGGTCCAGTCAATATAGTCACTGACTCTAGGGAATTAATTGTCTCATTCTAAAATGGACGTATAGAATAGAGGTCAGGGAAATCATATGGCAATAAGAACTTCTTTTTCTCTAATTAGATGAAACATGCCCTCAAAATCAGGTTCACAGTTGATGAGAAAAGGTTTCCTTTTGAGGACACAATCATCCCACCAACATGTTTCATATTTAAGGCTGTTTTGTTTTCTTGCATAGAGTGGGCAAAGCCTGTGATATCGCTGAAGCTGGACAGAGGTTCCCCCTGGAGCAGGATTCTCCTCATGTCAGAGGGCAGGGGGGTGATCTCTAAGCTGGAGGGTGATGTTGTGTCTGACAGCCTGCTTTATCACAAGCTCTTCTAAACTCCTCATTCCTCAGGGCTTCCTTCTTCCTGCAATGAGTTTGGAGGTCTGCATGAAACCCGGCTTAGCGCATTTCTCTTAGTAACCAATGGACCTACAAAGCCATCCACTCAAAAACTCCTGAATAGGCCAAGTGACAGATAGCTTTGCTAAAGGAAACAAGTATTAGCTGTCAAAAAATGCATCAGACCTGGCACAGGTTAGTGAAGCCTATGAACAGCGACAACCTCTACCCTCAAGCACTCAGTAACACCGCTGCCGTGCTCTCTAATAGAGCAAAGCCATTAAGTTGTCCCTGTTGCAATTTAGATCACAGAAGAGACTTCCACGGATTCTTTCAGGTTAAAATAACTGGTATAAAGAGAGTAGGCAAAATTATTCCACTGTAGCTACGTGCTTAATTATATGGAATACTGCATAAATTGTCAAGTGCAAAGAATTATTCTGATAAATTAAAATACTAATTAAATAGGCTATTGCAGAATTTTGAGAACATTATAGGGCTCTGCTTCTTCAGGTAATTTGCATATCCTTCATCTAGCGAATTTAATTTAAAAGCTTTCTTTTTTTGTGTGTTTGGAAACCCTTTTTGTTTCAGTGGGAGATTAAAAAAGGGATTTATATGTTGCTGTTTCTTTTTTTTTTTTTTTTTTTNTAGCTGTTTTTATTATGCCTCTTTGCTGTCGAGTTTGCCAGTTCTCCATTAGTATTTCAGGACTTTAAGCCTCTGGCTGTAATAATCACCTTTGCTGGAATGTGCATTATACCCAGAATTTTCATTTCCTATTCATAACATTTGCAAGATACATATTGTCTGCTGTATATTTACATTAGAATAGAAATTAGCAGGTAGCAAATTTAAATGCTTCAAAAATTTAGGGCCAGTTTTCAGAGGATGAGTAAGACAGCTTCTAAATATGTAGATTTGCTTTACCACCACTTTTTCTTATCTATCTATAGTCTACTGTCTACCTGTTGTTAAACTCCAATCATAGTTATGTGTAGTAATGATATTCACTGTTCATCATCTCCAGATGAACATCACAGAATTTTTGATCATCCTGAACTGCTGTGGAGTAGAGCTCTTCAAATAAATATGCATTTAGTATATGCTAAAATATGCTCCTGTAAAAGCCTAGAATGAACATCTCAAAGATGGGCTGCTGTGGGCAGTGTCTACATTCTAAGAATGACCAAGTCTGACCATTTTCAGGTCACGATTTCCTCAGTGTCACATCCAGGCCTCCCAATTTTGCCAGGATTTATGTGAGGATGGTCTTCAGAGCTGTGCTTTGTGTTTTCCTCTATATCAGGGAGCAGAGGGAAGATATGGCTTTACTACACTTTAAAATCAAAGCTTCAGTAATTAAAGTCTACAGGAATCTTCCAGTATGGAAGATATAATTACACAGTTCAGCAATAGGGCAGTCCCAATTTTTCCTGCTAACTGTTCATATGGTAGAAAATGATACCCAGGCATTTAAGCTTGCTTTTTTGTTTATATTCCCTTTATTTTGCAATGATGGAATTGTGCAGTTTTATTTATCCTCAGCTACCAGCAAATCAGGTGTGGGACAGCTGGATTTCTCTGAAGGAGTCAATAGAGCTTTCTGTTTGCTGTCCTGTTGCTCATGTGAATCTTTGCATTTGTCAGAAATCTAGCTTTAATATGTATGCTAGATATGAGACTGTCAGTGTGGTAACACAGAACATCTTTGAGATGAAATGGCACATCTGCAAAGGAGAGTGTCAGAAACACGGCATGACAGGTGCTGAACATGAATATTGGTTAAAAAAAATACACAGTTCAGAGGATGGAGCTAAAGACTTGAAAAACTTGTTTGCAAAGATTTGGGTATTTTTTGAAATTCTTGCTGGACAATACGTGCAATGCAACGGCAATAGCTTCAGTCCACGTAGTCTAGGCATGCTGTCTTTTCATCATTGTGCACAACAGTCTTGCTGATCTGCCTATCTATAGGAGCACAGCTGGCAAGGACCTATATACCAAGATGCATAGAAAGTTTAGACTCCTAATGGTCACTCTAATCCTCTACCACCTTTAAGATGCTCTAATCCTCTGACCACCCTTTGCTCTCTATTTTTTTCTGCCTCTGTTTCAGTAAAAAATGAAGATAACTGTATTCACAAAACTATCTTTGTTATGACTCAGTGTGGACTAAATAGATTTGTTATTGTGTAAAGTACTGTGTACATAGTAAATTGTATGGCTTAAATGTTCTGGTATGCATGAGCTCATGTTCCCATCAGTCTTATAGGTAGCATATTGAAACAACAAAAAAAATATATGTGGGTCTAAAGGATGGACAGAGCTTTCCTATCAATTTAAATCATGGGAAAAATTAATCTCTTACTAAAGTCATTTCTTACCAGAAAAGTGTCTCTGTGTTAGAATTACATGAAATTTTACTTCTTCAGTCTTTGCACATACAAACTCTTTTTAAAATCAAGAGACATTTTGAATACATAAAGTAAGAATGAGCCCTAATGGCATAGCTCACTTCTGAAATAAATGTGAGTTATTTGCCTTGCACTTTGGACAAGCGGAGTGGAGTGCTATCTCACAATAACATTGCTTCTAAGAATTGTCTGCTGCTCTGTGAACTGTTTTGAGCGTATGCTAAATAGCAACAGTTAAATATATTTTTGCAAAAGGAAAGGAAAATATGTGAAGCTTCTTTTTCTTTCTGCAAGTTTACTGTGTATAGGATGTCCCATCCTACTTGCTTCTTGTGTTTTCTTCGAGGAATGCGTCCTTCAGCCAACTAAAATTGAGAAGCTGCTCTACCCTAGAATTGAGTCTACCCCAGTTGTCCCTGTAATGACAGGCACCCTACATAGGGGATGAATAATCTCATTAAAATATCCATCTCTTTCACTGACTACAGAAAGAACCAATATGACCAGCCTCGATTAGATAGTCAATGACTATGTGGCTAAAGCTAGGAGTGTTTAACAAGGTTCTGTGGTTTAATTGCTACTTTAATAAATAGTTTAATAAATTAAGTGCCTTGTTTTGGGCCATGTGTCCATGGAGTCCGCATGACAGTTTGGAAATTGCATGGCCAAACTCTTCTCACCAAAACTAGGTGATCTAAACCATATCAACCAGGGGTTGATCTTACCCATAGCAACAACCGGGGAATAATTTCTTCTTTGTGCTGCCCCTGAAGACTTGGTTGGACCTTGTTTTGTGAGCCTGTGAGCACATACAGTCCAAAATTATGTAAAGACTATATAAAAATTTAACTAAGATATAAGCTGATGCACAGGAAAAATCTCAGTTTTATGAAGGAAAATGTTGTGCATTGCATCCTAACACTGAGAAAGAAATTATTTGTCTTACATACTGGGTAGGACTGTATCATTATCTGGTACATATCCTATTATTGCTGTCACAGTGGTGAGGTGCTGCTGTGCTAACAAGACAAGGTCTTACTGATGGTGAGAATTCTTCTGAACCATTCTGGAAGTGAAGGGTGATATAGTGCATACAAGGAAGCAGAACTGGTTTGGCTTTATTTTTCCAGAATAAAGAACAATTAATAACATACTTATGCATTCAAAATCACCAAATAGCAGAGCTGTTATCAGGGAAATATCATCCACAGATCACATAAGTAAGAATTATAGTGAATTTGTTGATCAAGGATAGAATGGAAGGTTGGTTGTTTTATAAACATTGCAAAATCATGCATATTTCAGCTATCCCTTAACTCTTACAATCTTAATTTCCCTTACAGCTATAAACAAAGAGAAGCTTGAAAAAACAACTGGACTGAAAATTCTGGAGACAGGCATGGGGGAGGTAAGTGGCTTGAGGACATTTTGTACTCTCAAAATCATTTTAATTGTGGGTTCCTTGGGGTTTTTTTGGGGGGGAGGGATTGTGTGTGTGTGTTTTGGTTTGGTTTTGGGGTTTTTTTTTTTTTTTTTTGCATTCTGGATTTTTTTTTGTAAAATCCTGGAGCTCATGCATGTTTGTGAGCTACCAGTCTGATAGTGCTAAAGGCCTTTTTTCTGATACAGTTGCATCTGTCAAAATACAATCTGCTGCACAAATAGCACTGTATCCCACAGAGAAAAAAATAACCATCTTTATGAGGAAAGTGCAGCAAGCTTTAAGAAATGCAGTTTCTAGCTTTGTTGTATCGCAGGAACAAAATCTCCAAAGATGAGCACAGCAACTGAAGCTGTTGTATGATTCCCCTTGGTTTTGATGGTGTACTATCTCGTATAGATCAATGAAAGTTTATATTTGGGGGTCTTCAGATGTTAGAGAGAATCTGTCAGTGGATGACTTGCTTATTTTGGATGTAACTTGAAATATAAATAAAACATATGTCTGTTATTATGGTGATATCACTAAGCAAAAACTCCACTAAGCAGTTCATCATTTATTAAAAAAGATGATGCTATCTGCTAAGAACCTTGTATGAACTACAGTTGATTGCTAATTCTTGTGCTAATTTTGTGTACATAGTTTTGGGGTTTTTTTTCCTTTTCATTTAATAATTTTGCTAGTTTTGAAGGCTTACAGTGCTAGATAAATGTCTTTTTCTTGTGATTACATTATTCTCAGTAGTAACAATAATGAGTGACTAGCTTGCAGCTGAAGGAACTACTTTTTTTCTTCTACTGATTTTCATTTTTGATATTTCTGTTTTTTTATCAGTTTATCAGAATAAGAGCTTTTCTTGCCAAGATTTCTGAGATCCTTCAATAATTTCATTCACATTACTAAAAGAGTTAGTCCTAAAGAGGTACCAACACTGAGATGTGCTCAGATTCTCAGTCTCAGAGTAAGAATTGTAAGAATTTGATTTTGGAAACATGCAAAGCTAAGCTCATCAGAGAAAGAAAAATGCATTTTTTTTTCTTCTGTCTGAGCTGTAAGAGATGTGTATATTAAAGGGATGAGTAGTGTCGCCTGTATTCTGAGTGTGGATATGCTCTCAGACTGTGTGCTGACTTCAGACCAGCCTCAAACTGCATCTGTGCTATTTCCAGCCCTGCCTTCCATGAAATGGCAGTGAACCAGGACTGTGGCAGGCACCATGGAAGCCACATCCAGTACAATTTGTCCCTGGAAGTCAGTGAGATGCCTTGTGCTAATGAAATGCTTCCATGTATCTGTCTGATTCTAAATCTTCAGAAATCACTGAAAGGATCCCAGCTGACTTCAAAGAGCTTTAAATCAAAATCTCAGGTCCCTGCTTAACTTCACACACTTATCTTTAAAGGAATTATTATCTTATAATCTTTAAAGGAATTATCTTATCATAGCCGGTGGAGAAAGAAAGCATTTCCAGATGTTTGAAATAGAAGTCAGGTGACAACCTGCTAAGTACTTCATTAATCTAAGTGGTAGTAACAGGGTTGTTGTAACCAGGGTAGTCTTAAGAATGTACCGCAGATAAAGCCTAGAGAAGTTCCTAGCTTTTTCAGACCCGCTAAATAAATATAACTAGGACAAATGGACAAGTGGTTAGGCTAGAGTTCCCCCCAGCCTCGACCCTGGGCTGAGTTTAGTTAAAAATCATCACTTGTCACTGCAGAACTCACCTCTCATATATTTGTACCATCACAGCTTTAAAAGAACCTACTGCTTCAGCTTGAATTAATAAAGACTTTGACAGATGATTGTGTTTTACACTCTGCCAAATATGTATTCTTAGAAGGCAAAATGTGAAAATGAATTAACCAAAGAGAAGCAGACATCTGAGGCCTGAATATATTCTAGGTTACATTTGAGATACAGTGATCAGCAGTGAAAAGAAACAAGTGGTTTGGAACATTAAAATGATGGAAGAGCATTTATTCAGCTGCTTATATATTTTGTTGGATGTGAATTCTCCCACCTGTGTATATTCCCCTTTTAAAGTCTTATCAGTTATGATTGTGCACATAACGAACACATTTCTGTAGAGTCTTACCTAAATGCTGTAACCAAGCTGCTGCTTTGTTGATAGGATATCAGATTCAGTTTATTTCAGGTTACATCTAACTATGTTAATCCAGTTTAGCAGTTCATTTTTGATTCACCTTGGTGTTTAACATTGTTAAAATAACAGAAAGTACATATTCGACTAAAATGAAGGTGCCTTTTATTGAATTAGGAGTTCTTCTGCTCCACACACTGTGAATATAATTAGATATAATGGTAACCATAAATCAAAGGCAAGATCCTCAAATCAAAAGTACTTAGAACAAGGAAAAAGACTTAGCTTTTTTACTTTCAGATTGAGAGATGTGCTTTTGGTTGGACAGTAGGTCAGATTCATGGCTAAGTTAATCTTCAGTTGCAGGACTGTAAAATAATGACAATTGTTTTTGTATAGCAAATTTCCTATCTGAAATAACTCAAAAAGAATTGCTTAGGTACTAGTGGTAAATGAAACAGCAGGAATTGTTCTAAGCTCTGCAGTAATATGTTTGCTGCTTTGGACAGTGGAATCAGTTTTAGGTCAGGATCACTGATTAATAGGATTTGTTCCTCAGAAAGAAACGTGTAGACACCAATGACTAATCAAGCATTAAGTGTGGCTGAAGGAAATGGCTTCACTCACTATGGGGAAGAGAAATGCCTTTCAGGGCTCCTCAGTCTCTCAAGAATGGCATTTCAAAAGCAAAAGTGTATGATAAAATTCACCCCATGCTTACTGAGCCATTCAGTCAAGGCTGAGGAGGGTGGATGAATTCTTTTTATCCTGCTGCATAAATATATACCACTAATGACATGGGTAATAGTCTGAAGTTTACCACAGTTACAATGTACTTGATCATCTCTTATGTCATGTAAAAGATTTTCCACAGCCTCAGTGTATTTTTTACATATAGCTAAGCTCAGCTGCATTTTGCAAAGGCAAGGCGAGACCAGGCACCATTTTAACAAGATCAAAAATGAGTTCCTTACCTGAAACATCAACAGATACTCATATTTCAGGATGTTGGCTTGAAAAATGTCTACATTTCGAGGTTTGGATGATATAGTGCAAACTACTGCCGGAGCCTTAGGTAAACAGAATTTCTTTTAGGTCTGTGGAATGACAGACCTTACTGGTACTTCCACAGTGCACCTGTTCAGCATTTGCTGGCAGAATATTCAGTAGTCCAGGGAGCTAGGGAGCTGGAACAGAGTTTGATGTGCTGCATATCTCTCTAAAGGTGCTAATTATTTTGGCATCTTTCTTATTTGTAAGAGTGCTATTATACCAAAAATCCAGGTAGAACTCTGCTGTAAAGAAAAACAGTGTCTGTATTGAAATCTTGAGCGTGCTGGTACTATATATCACATTTCTGCCTCTGAAACTGTAATTTTTCAGGAGATTCATTTTCTCTTTGGAGTTCTCCAGCACCATTTTCACAACTCTGAAACTCCTATGTGGTAATTCTCAAAGACTTTTTGGGTGACTGTCATGCATGAAGTTTGTGCTACCCAAATTCATCATGAGATTTTCACACCTTCCTGATTATTCAGCAGTCATGAAGAGATTTGGAGGTATTTGGATCTGATAACTCATAGATAAAATAAATCTCAGCAGTCCCCAGGTCATCTTCAGAAGTTCAGGAACCTCCTCTGGCTGAGTATGAACATAAACATGGCATTATTTCTGTGTGTGATTGTCATGATACTGTAAAGGAAATCATTCTGGTAAAAAGCCTGAAAAGCTAAGTAGCACTCAGCTAGGACCTTTAGCTCTGTTTTCCTGGCACCCAACATGACAGAGGCCTTGTCTTTTACAAAGGTAGAAATTGAAATTACCGTTCTTCATAACCAAGCGCAAGATATCAGGGTCAAAATTTGATCACATTGGATCAAATTTGACATTTTTAATTCACTTGCAATTCACTTTAATTCACTTTCAATGCTTAAGAGCATTGAAAAAAACGGTGAAAGAATTTGAAAGCCTGCTTATGAGGACTTATGCCTAACTCCTGCTGAGCTATGGATTCAGCATGGTCCGGAGTTCCAGTCCTACACAGAGGCACGTGCCCACCTATCCTCAGGAGCCGCTCTCCAGCTTGTGGGAGCTCAGCAGGTGCCAACAACCGTGGCCCAGCATGGAAGGAACTGGTTAACCTAGAATTCCTTCCAAATGCTTTCACAATTCTTTCCACATTTTCGCATTTTCTTTTTCCTTAAGTAGTTTTGAATTATTATAAAAGCTCAGTGCTTTGTAGTTCAATTCCAGGCTGAACTCAACAGTGACCAGAGCTGTTCAGATTCAATTTCAGTCCAGCTCCAGTTTAAGAAAATTTCAAATGATAGCACAAATTAAGTTACAATGAAATGGAAAAATAACTGCTTAAGCTAGTTTTTGGTTGAAATTTGTTTTCAACAACCATTTTCAAAATAACAGGTCAGGTTCTTCAGTAGCTCCAGAAAGCATAATAATTCAAATCTGTTTTCTGAGCTAAGATGCTGTGATTTGAATTATAAATGATGTCTGAATCAAGGCCTGAAAAACACCCAGGGAATGGCATTTCTCTGTCCTGAGCTGGTAAAACTGCACCAACCATGGAATGCATTATTTTAAATTAACTCTTCCAATTTCTGAGCAGAGCTGCACAAAATGTGCTCATCACTCAAATTTTAACATTGTAGGATTTGAATCATATTTCTCGTATTATGACAGACATAAGAATTAGAATAGATTTCTAAACCAAGTGGAAATAACTTAATCAAAATATATGTGAAAAGAACATTTTTCTGTATAGCTAGATGTTCTAAAATAGAGCAGTAATATTTTGACACGTTTCAGAGTGTTCTCAGTTATAGATATTTTGATAGGTGTAGAATTATGT